GATTGATACCAGATTCCATGAAGAATATGTTGCAGTTATGGCATTTGGATCTATCTTTTAACAATCTGGAAGGTGAAATTCCCAACTCATTACAGGTACTGTCAAATCTCAAATACTTTAATGTGTCTTACAACAGATTGAGAGGACCGATTCCTCATGGAGGGCCATTCGCAAATTTCACGAAGCTATCTTTTCTCTCAAATGAAGCATTGTGTGGCGCTCCTTGGCTCCAACCTTGTACAAGTACGTTTGAGCATGAATCAAGGAAAAAAAGGATAGTCATGATTGTTCTATTGGCATCAGGATCTGTCATATTAGCCTTGGTAATTTCAATTTTTTTGATGCGGTTAAAGCTGAGAAAGAAAATTCTAGCTCCAACTCAGAACTTGCTTCCCATGGCGACATTTGAAAGGGCATCCTTCCATGAACTTAGACAAATAACAAATGGATTCAGCGAGAGTAACTTACTTGGCTCGGGGAGCTTTGGTTCAGTTTACAAGGGAATTCGCGAAAATGGGATGGTTTGGGCCATAAAGGTATTCGATTTGCAGCCAGAAGGTGCATTTAAAAGCTTTGACAGAGAATGTGAAATCTTAACCTGCCTTCGTCATCGAAATTTAACTAGAGTGATTACTGCTTGCTCTAACCTTGACTTTAAGGCTTTGGTGCTCGAATACATGCCCAATGGAAGCCTTGAGAAATGGCTTCATGTAAACCATCATGTCCTCAGTATCATGCAAAGGTTGGATATCACGATAGATGTGGCTTCTGGTTTGGAATATCTCCACTATGGTTATTCAACTCCTATAGTTCATTGTGACTTGAAACCTGGCAATATTCTCCTAGATCAAGACATGGTTGGACATGTTTGCGATTTTGGAATTGCAAAGTTGTTAGGAGATGGAGAATCGGTGGTACAAACAAAGACTCTTGCTACATTTGGATATATTGCCCCAGGTGACTCAAATTTCGAAATTTTTATATCATTCAAATTAATGTTTCAACTTTCAACAACTAGTACGGTATGTCAAATATAAAACCTTTAAGAAAAAACATAAATTTGACTTTAACCGCGAGTTTCACATTTTGGTGCTAGAGTATGGACTGGAAGGATTGGTTTCAACAAGTTGTGATGTCTACAGCTTTGGAATTACATTGATGGAGACATTTACAAAAAGAAAGCCTAAGGATGAGATGTTCACAGAAGAGTTAAGCCTCAGGCGTTGGGTACAAGATTGCTTACCAGATTCTGTGATTCAAGTTATAGACAGAGACTTACTTCATCCTGAAAATGAACTGGTACAAAAGAAGATTAACTGCATATCATCTATCTTGCAACTTGGTTTAAGTTGTACAACAGATGCTCCTGAGGAGAGAATAAACATGAAAGAAGTACTAAGAGCGCTGCAGAAGATCAAACTCCAGTTTATCAAAGACATCACACCTTGAAGCAGGTATAAAACCAATAATCCAATAGCAACTTTTTTCTTCAATCATATGGTATATCAAAAGCTTATTCCAAGGATTATTATTCATTCAAGTAGTACTTATGTTTTTCCACTCAATACATGGCAGAGCCCTGAGGTGCAAATGTATTTGAGGAATTTTTTGTCCTGATTTGGTGCACCACCGAAATGCTTAAAGTTCAAGGAAGGAATGAGATATGTTAATGTATTACCAATAAATTGTTTACAGATATAAAGACCTCAAGTTCATGATCCCAGTTTATATGTTATGAAACGCCAAGCATTTTACTTGGTGTTTATGTTTGACATACATATATATATATATATGGCAATTAGGTTGGTAATTTACTTTAATTACTGATACAACTTTCCTCTTTTCAATTTTTGCAAATAAATGAGAAAAAAAATTGATCATCAGTATATATCACCGTGTAGAGGTACGCATAAGCATATGTATTTGTACATCTAGAACATGCATATGACATGCAGATTCTTGCATTTATTTTATTACAAATTACACATTTTAAAGGTGCAAAAAACAGCGATGGTAAAGTAGTTTTATGTGCAACAATTACTACTTAATAGAAATTAATAGCACCTTTTCAGGGTAAAATTGAAGCTTATATTTGTAATTATTGTTGAGGATAGTTGGAGGTTGTTAAAATTAATTATGTACTATTTCCTCAAGCTAGAAAATGGTGGGAACATTTGTTAAATATCTCAATTTTGAGAAATTACTCTGACGAAGCTCTGCACTGGATTGTTGGTGATTTGGGAACAACTCATTCCATATATTCCTTTAACATTGGAAATAAAATAAAAATTCAGCATGTTCCACCTCCTTGGTTTTTATGCTTGAATTGAAGTGCAAGAGTGAAAATGGATTTGTAGAGGAGAGAACAGCTCACAAAGATTTGGAGTTAGAGGTAAGGAAGGAAAAAAATTCAACAAAAAGGAAAATAAGAAAACCCGATTTTTACCGATTCTTCCGATTTCCGGTTAAACTTAATTTTTGGTCACGTTTGACCGAGTTTCTACCAACCCAAGTTTTTTAAAATAACTCAGACCAGACGCTTGGTTAGTTCTCAATTAAATCAGCCGGTCCGATCCGAGTTTAAAAACATGAAAGAGTACATGATAAGGCATTAAGGCTGGTCTCAAGAAATCTTGATGGCCGCTTGGGGACCCCAAAAACTAATCCTTCCTAGAAAGTAAGGTTAAAATAGAAAATGTATCTAAAAATATGGGACATGATGATAGATGAGGATTTGTACATTTCGAAGTAATTAAGGTGTGTTTGTTAAAGGGGCCGACCCCTTGAATACTTGTAGAAGGATGCTATAATAATTTACAATCGAATTACAAATTCTAACAAGACCTTAGTTTGTGAACAAAACCACGAAGGTTAAAAGTATAAAAGTAAACCATTCGGAATACATGTTTCGCAAATGGGTATACAACCTAATAGCATGTAATTAATTATCCACTATTTTGTATGTTTATTGTATTTTATGACTTATAACTTAATAATTATAAGATTAAATATTTTATACATTAACAGTGTATCTATCTATCAGTAGATTTAGATACATGTTAAACCTAGAAAACTTAAAATATAAATTCAAATTTATAATCTTACACCTAAACTTACTAATGCATACACAACTAAAAAATCACACTATAACTATATAAACAAAAATATTTTTCAAAACACATAGATATGTTACCCATATAATAATCTACACTTACCCTATTTACTGAAACATTACAATCACTATCTTGACCAAGTCTTGTAATTATTCTCTCTTGTCCTATTATTCCCACTGATTTGGATGGAAAGAAGAGAGAACAAGATGTGAGACTTGGACCCGGTTGTCTTCGTCGAGATAGCATCCTCAAGGTTGGACAAGTCTTGGTAAATGTAGTGATTGCCATGTTACTTGGTTATTAGGAGAATATGCACTAAAATGATAAGACAACAGATTAAGAATTGCCCATAATTATTTCCGCTATTTTGAATTCACTCGATGACGTCTGAACGAGGTACTAATTTTCCACCGGTAGGCATTTAATTCCTGGCAAGTAGAGGACAGAAATGCATCAGTATACAGAGAATTGAGCAACAGGTCTTCATCAATATAGAGTCCTCAATGAATGTGGTGTTCTGCTTACCCACGGGGTAGGTTTAGGTGAATACACACTCAATCGACAAGACAAGCTGCTTGAGTTGAAATTCTCCACAACTATTTGGACAAAACTTGCCCACGTAGACAGGTGATTTTTAACGAAATGTATGTAACAGGTTACCACTTAACATGAGTGAAGATGTTATTTTATAGAATCTCAATAAACGGGTAAGTGTATTTTTTAAGGTAAAAACCAGCTTTAATTCATAAAGCATCGAATCAAGCAGCAAAAGCTGTATTAGTACAATAAGCACAGATACAAAGCTGGTAGAAAACAAAATCATATACAAGTACAAATTAACTACTGTTTAAGGAAAATTATAGATTGAGGAAAATCCCTGCTCAAGCTCAACTCGTTGTGTTTTATGGTAATCATAATCTGCAAGGCTCTTTAGGTGTACAAAACCATCTTTAGCTCAGCTAGCGGAGGAGTTACCAATATCCAAAACAACATTAATGTTTCTGAGCACGCTTCTTGCCTTCAAAGCTACCATTTTTGATCCCCAAAGGATCATCCCGTCCAACTGGTCCACTTCTACCTCTGTTTGAAATTGGATTGGAATCACTTGTAATGCCCGTCATCACAGAATCGCAGCCATCAACCTTTCCTACATGGGAATTGTGGGAACTATACCTCCACAACTGGGAAATCTTTCTTTTCTCACCTGGCTGAATGTTATGAATAACAGCTTTCACGGACACCTTCCATCCGAGCTATCTCATCTACGTCCATTGAAATACATTAACCTTGCACGCAATGACCTTGAAGGAAAATTTCCGTCATGTTTGGGAGGTGTAACTTCACTTCGGCTCAAAAACTTCCCATACAACAAATTTTCAGGTTCATTATCAGGCAGGATCTGTAATTTCACAAAGCCGGAGTGGATCAACTTGGGTTTCAACTTCTTAACAGGAAATATTCTGGAAGAATTTAGTGCTCCGCCAAAACTGAAAAATTTGGCAATGGAATTTGACCAACTTGTAGACCCTCTGCCACAGGCTTTCTTTAACCTCACCTGATTGCAAATAATTGCTTTTACGAATAATAGATTATCAGGTTACTATCAATTCCGAGGACTTTACTTATCATCTAATTACTTGAGGGTATGTTTGGTTACCCATGGAATTGGAGTGTAGAATTGGAATTTGGGCCCCAATTTTAATTCTTGTGTTTGGATACTATCTTTACTGTAGAATTAGAATCGAATTGCAATTCCAAATCGATCGAATTCCATGGTTCCAATTCTTTGGCTGGACCAAAGAATTCCAATTCCACGGCCAGACTTCCATTCGGGTCAACGCGGACTTTAAAAGGATAAAAACCCCAAAACGGGTCAACTATAAAGCTGGATTAAAAAAAAATACAAAGCCGGCTTCTTTCTCTCTCTTCGTGAGCAAATCGCTCTAGCGTTCTCTGCCACCGCCACCGCCACCGCCGGTGCCGCCTCCTCTTCCCAACACCTCTCCCATGACCCCTCCAGGCCTTTCCTCCCTCTTCTCTCCTCCGCAGCATCGTGTGGGTGAAATCGCTATATCTATTCTGCTATATCATGGTAAGTTTCGTTCCACTGCATCTTCTCTCTTTCTATGTGATTCGCTTCTTCTCTAGATTTGCAAAACTAAGGTTATTCTGCTATAGATACAGCCCACATGATTGCTGATGACCATGTCGTAGATGTCAAAATCATACGTAAAAAGTAACAGAGAAGGAAAAGAAATTGTAGGAATCATCACATTTCTTCATAAAAGGAAATATGAAAAAAAAAAAGATAGAGAAGACAAATTGCTATTATATCTTCTTTCACTTTCTGAAAAACGGTGTTTATGATCTGTAGATGTGGGTTTTCAATGTGGCTAAAAGGACTCCAGGCATAGTAGAAACTAGAAAGGGTACAGGAATAAAGTAAACAAGATGTTAAACGAGGACTTCTTGCATGACATTAGAAACTAAAAAAGAATTTACGACTTAAGCTGGTATAGAAAACTTCATTTTTTAGCACTGATTAATGCTAGAATTTATCATGGGACCAGATATTTGAGAATACATTTTTCTATTTCTTTTAGTGAGAATACATTTTTTAGACTTATAGTGAGAATGCATTCTTGTAAAGAACCACGAATTTGTGTTGCAATATTTTCTATTTATATTGTCATTGTTGGTTGTGGTTTTTGTCTGAATGTAAAGAGCAATATACTTGGATTTCCGGCTGGACTTTGCCCAATCGTTGGAGTTGGTGGACACATAAGTGGTGGTGGCTACGGTTCACTGCTGCAAAGATATTGCCTGATGGTGGATAATGTTCTTGATGCTCAGATTATTGATGTTAACAGCCAGGTTTTGGATAGAAAAGCAATGGGAGAAGATCTTTTTGGGGCTATTAGAGGTGGTGGTAGTGCTAGTTTTGGTGTTGTTTTAGCATATAGAATCAGGTTAGTCAGAGTGCCTGAAATTCACACAGTTTTTAATGTGCAGAAGACTGAGGCAGAGAATGCACCAGATGTTCTTTACAAATGGCAAAATATTGCAGACAAAATTGACAACGATTTGTTCATTAGCGTTATTGTGCAGCCAATTACTAGAAAAGTAAAGGGTCAGAAAATCATTAGATTGACATTCATGGGACATTTCCTTGGAGATGCAAACAGGTTGATTTCTGTTATGAACACTGGATTTCCTTAATTGGGATTGAAGAGAAGTGATTATTTGGAAACAAGTTGGATTGATACGATGCTCTGGTGGTATAACTACAAGATTGGGACAGCAAAGGAACTGCTATTGAGAAGGGCTTATGATCAATTGATCTTCTTGAAGAGAAAATCAGATTATGTACAGAACCCCATTCCTAAAGATGGATTAGTATCACTATTCAAGAAAATGGTTCAGCTTGGAAAAATAGGACTTGTTTTCAATCCTTCTGGTGGAAGAATGAGTGAAATTCCTGAGAATGAAACACCATTTCCTCATAGGGCGGGGATCATTTTCAACCTGCCAGATTGGTGAAAGTGAAGGCTATCGTGGATTCACAAAATTAATTCAGGAATGAACAGAGCATCCCCACTTTGAACCTTCAGACCTCAAAAGGGAGGAAGGGACGAAAGTAAAGAGCAACAAATGATAATTGCTCATATAGTAATGGTTATCAAGTAGCAGAGGTGCCTTGTCCTATTAATGGCTTTAGCATAAAATGTAGTCTTAATGAATGGATATAGTGAGCATTACTTTTGTAGCATTGTAGTACCCGAATGGTTGGTTGTGCATTAAAGAGGCAAAAGTCATGTACATTCATGGATTGATTTCACTTATTACAGACCTTATTGTCTATATAATCTTGTAAGATGCAAAACTCAAACATTTATAATAGGCACAAGCTATGACTTTCCTCTCCAATTCATATAAAAAAGTAGGCTTTTAATTTTCTAAATTTAAAGTTCTTAACTGTAAGAAAAATATGAAGGTTTTAACTTGATGAATATTAACTACTTTTTAAGTTAGAATATATACTTAGTTTTTTTATTTAATATAATTTAATTAAGAATAAAAGAAATAAGAATAATATTTTTTTTTTTTGCAAAAAAGGAACTAATTGGTTTTCTTTTTCTTTAAAGCTTTAGTAACAATTAGTTAAATGCAAGAAAAAAATAAATTATTAAAGGCATTAATTGGTTTTTTCCTTGAAGCTTTAGTAATAGTTAGTTAAATATTAAAAAAATTATTACATAGTAAAAAGAAAAACAGAAAAATTTTATGTAAGCAAATGTTAGATGGAAACAATTCTAGTTCTTAATGAATTCTCCTCTCATGCAAACAAAGAATTTGAAATTTTAAATGAATTATGTATCAATTCTATGCATTTCCCAAACAAAAGAATTTCAATATTTTGGAATTCCAATTTCTAGAATTTTAATTCTATAGAATTCCAATTCCAATTCAATTCCAATTCTGTAGAACCAAACGCACTCCATCAGGCATTGGAGAATGTTCAAGACTCCAAGTTTTATCTTTGTCTTACAATAAATTCAGAGGATATATCCCAAAAGGAGTTTGGAATCTAACCACGCTAACACTTGTACATTCGGGTGATACTGACCTGACAGGTAAGCTACCAACTTGGCTTTACTTTGAAAAATTCTTTTGAACATTCGAGCTATCATTTCATCACAATTAATTGTTTGTATGGTTAAAAGTCCAGATGCACTTAATGTATTTAATTAAACTGTATTTAAACTTAACTTAATGTTTAACTAAACTTAATGTTTAGTGATAATTAAACTTAATGTTTAATTAAACTGCATTTAAGCGATAATTTCTATCCCTCATTTAAATACCATCCCTCATTTACTTGAAAAAAATAAAAAAATAAAAAATAAATAAAAGCTATTCCAATTTCCAACTACAATCAAATGGTTCTTGAAGCTTCAAAGGATAGATCTAAGCAACAATCAAATTCAAGGTGCTATTCCATGTGACTTTTGTTATTTGTTGAACTTAGGCTATTTAGATCTAGGACCAAAAAAAAAAAAAAACTCTCTGGTATGGTGCCTTCTTGTTTAGGAAATGTTACTACACTCAGAAATATTTACCTTAATTTCAACAAATTAAAGTTCTATCACACACCAGCAAGCCTTTGAAACCAAAGAGATATGTTTTTGCCCGCCGAAATTGGAAACTTGAACACATTAATCAGTTCTACATATCTATACTCTCCATATACTCTAACCATGAGGTTTAGTTAGTTAGGAGTGTAAGCAAAATTTGGTCTGGTCAAAATAGAAACATAAAATTGGCACTGCAATGGAACTATTGCACTTGCAAATAACTTTTTTTTTTGAATGCCGAAGAGAAATGCAAACTTCAGCTCGTATATGTTTCAGTGCCACCCTTCGGTGGCGAGTGTTACAAGCGATTCCAATCCAGTTGCAAAAGGAGGTAGAAGTGGACCAGTAGGTTGGGATGATCCTTTGGGGATCCAATATGGTTGTCTTCGGAGCAAGAAGAGCATCCAGATCACTGAGTGCTGTTTTTAGTGGCAAAAACCAGCAATTGTGGCAAAATGCACCACTAGCAAGGCTGAAAAGGAAATTAGCTGTGTCCACAATTAAGAGTTGTGGACTTGTGAAATGCAACCAAAAGAAAATGCTTCTATTTTTATCCAGAGTAATTTTTGTTCCTTCTTTTCTTCAATTTGCAAATTAATTTGTATCCTTCGAAAAGAATTCCAATTCTGTCTTCTTCAGAAACAATAATTAAGAAAGCCTAAACCTGAAGATAACAGATGATCATTAATTTCTCACTTTTCCGAAAGCATAAGAGTTGGAATTTCTTAGGAAAGGTATTTCCGACTCGATCCTGTGGTTACTCATAGAATCAAATATAGATTCTGCAATGCTATTTATTTCTCCATGAAAAGTCCGTAAAATATTCTTCAGACAATCAAAAAAAAAATTTTTATGCAGAGGTATGTAGGATAAGTTTTTTTTTCTTTTTGTCAATTTAAGCGGCAATTTAGGATAAGTTTTTATTGTTAGCATTTCTGTAGGTTTCAATTTTCAGTTTTGGGACTCGTGAAATAAATCTATAGAGCCCATGACACACTTGATATTTGAATTTTGATGCCTGGTTGGATGGATGGGCCATGGATCCATGTATCTTAATGTTCCTGTTTGTTACGTAGAAGCATTTGGGTTATAGAATTCAAGTGAGCCCATTCAGTGCCTTAGCATTTCGTAAGGCAATCTCTCGATGGATTTTGTTAATTTTGGCAAAGGTATTGATAGTTTTACAATAAATTCTTGTCAACTGTGTAAATTTATTGGTCAAAACTGAAACGTAATTAAGAAAAAAATTTTAGGCTACAAATTATCTGAAATAACACAATTAAGGTGTGCAATGAAAATGATAGTTATTCACTACACATAAGATTATCCTAATGTTCGTGTATCGGTGATTCAACATGTATCAAAACCAAGTATGCTTTTCATCCACATATCCACTATGGTTACAAACAGAAAGAAATATTAACTACAGCAGATAGAGTTCATCCACATATCCACTATGGTGCAACTGAAAAGGAAAAAAAAAAAAACACACACACACACACAAGTGATGATGGAGTTCATGGTGGAATTGGAACTTGAAATTGTAGAGGCATGTAAGAAAAAAGAAATTAACTACAGCAGGAAGAATAGTTTATTGGCTCTTGGGGCAGCGGGTGTTAGGTGGGGAAGAAAACAACTACAGCAGGTCCAGGTGTTGGGTCAAAGTCTCAAAAGTATATCTCGCTTCTTTCCATCCAATTAACACGGAGTACATAAGGAAAAAGAAAATAATTGCTGCAGGCCTGAGTCAAAATAGTGATGGTAGTGTAAGGTTTTTATCTCCTACAGGCTGGTGGATGGAAAGAAGAGACGTATCGATTACTTATCTTTCTCCACAGTTGACACTTTAGAAAAGCCGGATGGAAAGAAGAGACATATAGATTTCGACCCTTGTGATTTTCGTCAAGGTGGCAATATTAGGTAACCTTAGTATCAACTCCGGATTAGGTGAAAATAGATTCAAATGACAAGAAAAGGTGTGTAAATTTCTCCATAACTTTATATCACTCTCCGGAAAGAATAGCCCGCTTACCCCGAAGTCCAACATGAGGAATAAATCTTCCTTGGCAGGCAGGAAATATATAGCAAGTAAATGATTGAAATGCATGTAGACTCTGAGCAAATCAATATATAAATAGAAATTTATTTTGGTTTTTTTAAGAATATAATAATAGATGGTACGGGTGTACTTTATTTCTTACTACTTGGTATACACACTGAGTGTATTTGAATACGTTATTCTTTGGAAAAGATTTTTTATTTGTATTATAAGTGTATTTTTAAGTTACCTTTCTATTGTCTCAGTCACTATTTTATCTTGCGTAAATTAGTGGATGTGTTTAGATGTTTTGCATGACTTTTTTTGTGTACTCTGCCCTAATCAAGTCCAACCTGACTCATTTAAACCCTTATACAACCCTCTGCTTTCCCACCGAAAAAGAAAAAATAGAAGCACAGTTTATCTCTGCTTGTGATTCTGCTGTTATGTTGGTATGATTCTGTCCTCTGCCCTCTGGACATTGGAATTCTGTAAACTGAAGTCCTCCCTTGTCGCCACAGTGGTCCATTTCTTGGATCCTCTGAGAGCTTGCACAAATCTAAGTTGATTGATGGCTAAAGCCTAAAAGTACAAATCAACATCTGGATTTGATCGTCAAATCCCATTTCTTGGTAAATATACCAAAAGATTGTTATTGTAATGTGACATTGTATTGCTGTAAAAGGAAATAAAATTTGGTGGAAGTGCCTTAGGCAAAACAAATTTTTATTAACTTTTGAAAAGTTATAGTCTAGTGATTAAGATTGAAATTTCAAGAATTAAGAATCCTATATCAAGTCTCATTACACATAGGTTTCTTTACCTATTATTTGTGGGTTAGCGTTTAGTATTATACAATTGTAATTCTTACCATTTGTGGCGAGTTTCTTGAGGCTCCTTTCTAATGTCTCAAGAAAAAATCAAAACGCTACTATAGAATTTCTGTTTGATGCCACTGTCTTTGTTCTATTTCATTTCTATCCTGGACTATAATAACTGATGTCAGAGATTCTTGACTAATGCCTCAATATTCACTTTCTCTACCTCATTTATTTCTCCCTTTGCCACTGAGTTGTTACCTAATATTTTGATATAATAGAAACAGAAAAATTCAACTTAAAATTATTGACAAAAAAATTATGTGAATCGAAATACCAACTTTCCATTCATGTTACCGTTTGGAAAAAAAAAATACCAACTTTCCATGCTACATATTTTAGCTAGATTTCCTTAATTCAAGCGTAATGAATAATTGTTATGCGGATAAAGTGCATTTGGAGATAAGATAGCAATAGAGATAAGCACAAAAAATGAAAATAAAAAAGGGCTAAGATGTTTAAGTTACATTTTTGTTAAACTTCAAGATTTCTTGTGTAAGTTGGACAAACATCAAGAGAGATCATGTGCTCTAACCAATAGCACTTTGGGCAGTTAGTCACCACAAAAAATCATTGTTACTAGGCAGCAATAGCGAGCGAAGTATAGCCAAACATGATTCACAGTTAAGCACAAAACACAATTAAAGACCACATTAGCTCGCTTCATTTCCCAAACATGGAGAATTAAGATTAATAGTCAATCGATTAACATGAGAAACGAAAAAAATATTCACAATTCCTAGAAAGCTAGCCAAAAATTTCAGAAGTCACAAAATTTTCAATATTCAACAAAGAGACATTCTCAAACTTTACCCCATCAGATTTGACTCATTATCATATAAAACCTTAACAATAGAAAAAATTTTGAGACACCTA